GTACAAATGCGCTTTACACAATTGATGTGTGTATGGATTGTGATAAGAGTTGTATGAGCCCCTAATAAAATGATTTTTTTTAAAAAGAAAAAAAATTAAGAGAGAAAATAAAACCCAAATAAACCATTTCTCAGTTTTCCACACTTCAGTTTTCAGCAGTCTGTGTAGAGGATGACCGTGGTTGTCAATGAATATTTTCCAGACCTCCAGCAGTGGAAGGCACTCTGTCCGCATCACTGGCCTCAGTACTATTGATTTCCGAGCTGGCTTCTCCCGAAAACCCACATTGGATTTCAAAAAAACTGTCAGCAGACCAGTACAAGGTTTGTATATTCACATTTTAAAATTGCCATATCAATATCTAAGGCAAGACTGTGATTTTATAATTTTATATATTCATTAAAATTGGAAAACAGCATCTTCTCTTTGAAAATGATGGCTCTCTTTACTTAGTCAATGTTACTCAAAATGTAGTCTTGAGACCAGTGATCTCAGATACTCTCAGGTATGTTAGCCCAGGTAGTTTAGAGAAATATATCTAGAGACACTCATATGTGTAAGAGACAACTTTATATCTAAGAGTAATTGTACATTAAGAAACCATCCTGGCCCAGTCCAGATGGAGTCCACAAGTCTGATATTACCCTATATGTCAATACTAGTCCATAAATTCCTCAGACTCACGCAGCCATGCAACAATGCTGAGTGCAGGAAGATCACATGTTAGTGGGTAGAAAGTCTTGTGGATCCAGTGGTGGTGTTAGCATCTCAGAGCTGGCGTGTGTCTCCACGTGGCTCCTTCAATCCCAGGACTCTGGCTGCATCACTGTAGCTCCATGTGGCTTGTCAGCAGGAAGACAAAGCAGTGAGTCAGTGTGTCTGGCCTCCAGTGAGCTATTTATCTATGTGGCGCCTCCCAACGAGGTCATCAAGCTGCGACCGATTGACAAGCTAGACTCCAACCCTTCGCAAATTGATACCAGATTATGTACCTGCCACATCAGGATGTTAAAAATCTAAAAATAAAGAATCCTAGGCCCCACCTGAGAAATCCTGACTCAGAATTGCAGAATGTAGGACCTTAAATCTGCATTGTAATGAACGCCTCCTGTTGATTTCCCTATTTACTAAAATTTGAGAACGACTGACTTCGTGATATATTTTCTTATTCTAGCTACACTTTATTATCTCGGTGAGAATGTAGACAGTGGGTCAACATAGTTGGAAAAATTAAGGATACTATGTACCAGATCGCTTCAAAGAGGAAAATTTTGCTGAGTTTAAAGACTTATTTTATTTATGCAAGATGAATCAGCATTTTATTACCATAAAAGAAACTCAGGTCTTACATTTTTTATGATTATTTTATTTTTATTGATACAACTTCTAGAAAAGTATATAATAGTGAATCTTTAAAAACACCCATGAAATCAAGCATTATATAACACAATATTCACAGTTCTGGTTTTTTAACGTGTAAACTTATTTAAGTACTATAAGAATGATTACTCAAGATTCCCTGCTTCAGTGGTCATGCATAAACTCTCTTTCCTGTAGAAAAGATTTTGCAAGTTCACGATTGCTGAGTCAGTTTGAGTACTCATCCTTAGGGAACTCACTATCTGTACCTATAACAGAAATAAGCATTTGATATATAACCTCAGTTTCACGTTGTTTGTAAATGATGCAATGTTCTTGCGTCTTTGTTTTGTTTTTGTAGGAATACCTACCTACGTGCTGCTCAACACTTCTGGAATATCCATTCCAGCCAGAGTAGATCGTCTGCAGCTTCTAAGCATCGCAGGCAAACCTCTGAAGACCATACCTGTGAACTATCACCCAGATCAGAAACCGTACGGCCTATGGAATGTTTCTGAATTCATTCCACCAAATGAAGCTTTTTTCCTTAAAGTCACTGGCTATGATAAGGATGATTACCTCTTCCAGAGGGTGTCAAGTGTTTCCTTCTCTAGTATTGTCCCAGGTGAGACACCAGTTTCATGAATAATAACAACAATGTATTCATGGCTTTAAGGGTTATTAGAACAGAGCGATCTTAAAAATAACTCTAAAAATTAAATAATATCTTCACCCTACTACTACATTACCAAAACAACGGGCTTTTATCTTTAGGCAATACAATTATTTTTAACCATAAAATAGCCCATCCGATGTTTCCTACTAAGTCTTACTGATCACACATTTGAGGGATTATGATTATTTCAATCACTGTAAGAAATTTAATTGGGGAATTCTGGGGGCTTTCCTCCACATATATTTGATTAAACTGTCTAATTTGATTTAATGTTTATCTATTGAAAATTGTATCACCTTTTCCTTCATGAACACTATTCTTTGTAAATGAGGGGTGATGATTCCAGCTTTATTAATTTTGTTGGTTAGTTAATTCTATGAAGCCAAACATGCTGCTCTTGAGTCGATCCCAGTGCATAGTGATTCTGCAGACCGTTGTACTGGCCCCATAGAATTTCCAAGGATGTGATCTTTCCAGAAACAGTCAAATTTTACTTCCCAGGGAGCAACGGGTGGTTCTAACTTCAGGTCTTTCGATCAACAACCAAACATCGAACAACTGTGCCCAGGGTTCCTGGTTAATCAATTAGTACATACCAATCCACTTCTATAATTGTAACTCAATAGAGATACATCACCGGCCAGGTGTTAGTGGGTGGCATGAGCTATATTTGAGATGTTACTCACAACTGGTGGCTGAATTCTGATTGAAGCTTTCAGTGCAGGGGATTGTTTTCTAAAATAGTCTATTGGATGGAGAGATAAGAACTTATGGTTTTATGCACAGGGTATGATTTGGGATATTCTCTGGATGTTATTTATTAGTTATAGAATGGGGAAAGTGAGCCAAACTCACTGTTTTCTAATATATGATACTCCAAGTTAGTTGGCTTAATACCAAGGTGAATGATACGAAAATGTATTCGATTTTAAAAAAAATTTTTATTGTGTTCCTTTAGGGAAAACAATTAGTGTATGTATTTGACCCTCAGATAGTTTTACACTTTATTTTCAGTAAAATAAGTCTCATATTTGATAATGTATTGTAACGTATTTGACAGATTCTCACCCTTCCCCGCCCTTCATAGTGAACAGAAAAGAATGTGTCTTAAAATCAATGGAGTCTTAGGTTCCATCAATACTGTGTCCAATGAATTTCCATGAAGATACCCAGAAATGAACGAATTTAAACCAATACTGTTTTTAAATGTGATATTTTAGGGATGTGGGTTAATTGGAATAGAGGCTTTCATGACATAATTTAATTGTACGACTTGTGAACAGATTAAGAAGGGATATGCAGCAGTTTTGTCACCTTTGGCTATCTTTCCTAGATGCTCCCAAAGTAACAATGCCCAGGAGAACGCCAGGATACTACCTGCAGCCGGGCCAAATCCCTTGCACCGTCGAGAGTCTTCTGCCTTTTACTTTGAGCTTCCTCAGAAACGGAGTTGCACTTGGAGTAGACCAGTATTTAAAGTGTGTAAATGTTTCTTTTAGTAATCCTTTATACCATTCAAATCAACCATCCTTTCTCAATAGTGTTTTAAAATGATCACCATGGGCTAAATAAATGATACACTCCAGGGAGGTAATCGATAAGGGTCTCTGCAATAAAATAGCAAAGTTACCCTAAGGTGAACCAGAGGCAGATAGAAAACATAAATTCAGGAATGGATTTTGGCTTCTCACTTGATCCTAACTCCACTCTACGAACAATTAGTTCTTGCAGTGTGGCCCTACTTGACAGTTGCCCCCATGAAAGAAACATGGACTATATGAGTGCTATAGAAAAGTGTATTGAAGAAATTAGATGGTGCCCAGTTCTCAGAAACACTAGTACCGAGTGTCTTAAAGGCTTAAAACAGCCATCTATGTGAGATGACAGATTAACCCACATGGAAGAAGCACACCAATATCCATGATATAAAGGTTGTAAATTATATAATTAAAATCTGAAGGAGGGAATAGTATCAATACTTAAATTGTGAGATTCTAGTGTGCAGTGGCAATGGGTGACCATAGAAGCCCCAAGTCTAACGGCAGGATCTCCCCTGGGAATAAGCCTTTGGTCCTTCTGCACTAACCGTAACTGACAGATGGGATTAACCTGGTGATCAGACAGAGGACTGGAGAGGTGACTATGGTAGTTTATAATGATAAAGCTGACTTGAATCGTTAAAGCCTTGTCATCTGATCTCCTTTTTGATACGCTTTGTTCTTGATCTGGTTTTTAGTATTTTCTGTGTGCAGGGTTTTTTCCCCCCATATTGAGGATTACTTCTGTTGTATTTTGTCATTGTTGGTAGACTTCTTGACTCTCTGTTATGTATTTCCCTGTGATTTTTGGTATATGAAACACAGGATGGATGACTCTTTAGAGACAATAACTAAACTAAGGGTGCCTGCAAGGTATGGAAGGGAAGGTGGGGGGTGGGGGTCGGGGGGGTGGCGCTAATGGTGGGGGCCCATATCAAGGAATACAAGAAGTTAGAAAATGTTTTGAAATGGTTTGTGGTAGCCATATCAAACACTGTTTGATATGATTGAACTATGGAACAGTATGATGTCTGAATTAGCCCCTAATAAAATGGTTAGAAAAAAATAGAATGGAAATAATTTTTAAAAATCTAAATATGGGGAAACAGCAATGGTGGTTGGGGGTCATGGGGACCTAATAACAAGGAATACAAGAAGGAAGAAAAGTTCTAAAACTGATTGTGGTAGTGATTGTACAATACTTCTTGATATGACTGGACTATTGAATTGTATGCTGCATGAATTGTGTCCTAATAAAACAGTTTATATAAACATCTAATAGATTTTTATATACAAATAGATAGTTTGATTTATGTTGTGGAGGGTTCTTTTTTTTTTTTTTTTTTAAACATTTTATTAGGGGCTCATACAACTGTTATCCCAATCCATACACACATCAATTGTGTAAAGCGCATTTGTACATCGTTTCTCAAAACATTTTCTCTCCACTTAAACCCCCGACATTAGGTCCTCATTTTTTCCCCTCCCTCCCCGCTCTCCCCTCCCACATGAGCCCTTGATAGTTTATAAATGGGTATTTTGTCATATCTTGCCCTGTCCGACGTCTCCCTTCATCCACTTTTCGGTTGTCTGTCCCCCAGGGAGGAGGTCACACACAGTTCCATGTAATCGGTTCCCTCTTCCCTACCCATTCTCCCTTTACCCTTCCTGTTTTGCCACTCACACCACTGGTCCTATAGGGCTCATCCTTCCTGGATTCCCTGTATTTTCAGTTCCTATCTGTACCAGTGTACCTCCTCTGGTCTAGCCAGTCTTGTTTATGTATTCCATAGTCTTGATATGTTAAAATAACAGGCAAATCAAACTCATTGCTGTCAGACTCATAGGAACCCTATAGGAAAAAGTAGACTGTCTTCTTGGGGTTTCCAGGGGTCAGATTATGTGACCAGTTGATGGGGCCATGCAGAGAACATGGTAGATTCAAATCACTGATGTTTCATTTAGCAATGAGTACTTAAACACTGTCCATAGCATTCCTGTCTTGGCATAGAAAAACCTAGATTCAAATCTACTGCCATTGAGTTGAATATAAATCACAGTGATTCTATATTGGGTTTCTGAAACCAGAGTAAGTTTATATGGGAGCCAATGGCCCCATCTTTCTTCTGTGGAGCAGCTGGTGGGTTTGAACCACCAACCTTGTGGTTAGCAGTCTAGCTCCTAACCCTCAGAGCCACTAGTCTTGGAGCCACTAGTGGTCAAATTAGACATAGATCTATGCCTTTTTAGAACTTATGTAATGATTGACAGAGATATACAATGTATCAGAGATATAATATGATAATGTAATAAATTCTAGAATATGGTCAAGGATGGACTCCAGTTTTATATAATCTGAATTTTATATACTTTAGGATATAAATATAATAGAAAATTATAAAAAGTTAGGTCAATCTTGGAAGGGTACTAACGCTTAATCTTTATTGATTTCAAGGGAAATCTACCTCTGAATATGATTTAAAATGATAAAAATCTAAAACTAGTTTCCAGTGAGTTATTCTGACTCTTGATGAGCCCCGTGCTTCTGAGTAGAATCACGCTTCACAGGGTTTTCAGAGGCCCTATTTTCTGAAACTGGATTACAGATATTTCTTCCAAGGAGCCTCTGGGTGGACTCATATCGCCAACCTTTTGTTGGCAACTGGGTACTGTTCATAGCACCCAGGACTTGGGGCTTGCCAAGGCTGCCAAGACTTGGGGACAAACCTAAATGGAGAATGCTGGCAGTTGGGAGAATGTGCTTTGATGAAGTTACAATTGTAAAATTTAGGAAAAGAGGTATTTGAACAAAGACCAGAAGGTGAGAAAGCCAGTCATGGAGATAACTCAGGAAAGACCACTGATTAGACAGTAGGCACAGCAAGTGTAGCGCCTTAAGGCAAAAGTGGACTAGGACATGGGAAAGAAAGCAGAAAGGAGGCCAGTGTCTAGGAAGCCCACTGGACCAAAAGGCGAGGAGTCAGGATGAAGCTTTGGAAATGCGGTATGCTGGGCCTGAGCGAGAGATGGGCCAAAAGCACGTAAAACGACGGCATGTAAAGATCAACAAGGGAGGGTTAGAAGGCACTGGTTTTCCCGGGGAAAATGGGCAATTTGTTAAGTTAAATCTAAGTACAGAATCTATTTTTTTTTAAATGAGAGCTATTGAGTACCATTTGAAAACTGGGAAGAAAATAATTTCTGAAAAGTGTTATTTTTAACTTAATATAAAGCAAAATACATTTTTGGGGAAAACTTCATGTGTTTTTTTCTTTTGGTAAAACTTTTACCTTGAGAATTAATCTTATTATAATTAACTTTCAGAAGACATTTATTCATCTCAGTTTTTGCCACCTCTTTATGTGAAGTCATTTTAAACAAATTCTTATGGCAGCAATGTTTGTTGGAGCTTTATCAGTTTTTCAATTCTATAAGATTGAACTATACTACTATTTTTATATAGTGCATTTTGGTGATTTACTTAGCTTGAAGTTAATAACCACCAGTGTATCAAATTACAAAGCTATATAGTCAACTGATTAAAGTAAATAATTCTACTTTCTACTCAAACACGATTTTGCTTCTTCAAAAGCACTTGGGAGTATTTATAAAAATGAATGCATTAATTCCACACACTCCCTGGGAGGTTAGGTAGAAAGATTCCTTTTCTCATTTTTCTGAATCCGTGACCCAGATCTGTGACACACTTTGCTCATATACATAGGCATTTGAGATTCTCATGAGGTGCTGGAGACAAAATTAGTCATGGGTGATGATGGATTGACACTCTAAGCCTTATTTATTCATATATATCCACCCTATCTAAAGAGCTTAGGACATGTGACCTAATCTTTGCCTATGTCTTCCACTTAAGTCAAGATGGGAGGTAAGAAAGGATTGCTTGGCATTAGCAAAAGGGCCTATTTCTTCTTTATTCTTGTATATTTTTTCTCTGTTTCCAAGGGCTGTCCTTTAAAACACTTTTACTGTGTCCCTATAGTATTCAATGAAGATTACAAGAATAAATGAAATCATTTTCATTTGATATTTAATCAATATGAGTGGAACAATTACAACCACAAAGTACATTCTTCAATGAGTAAACTAGTTATGTGCCCTTGAAAAAAATTGCTTGTCCTTTTTAATTTCAATTTCCTTATTTTAAAAATGAGCAACATTGTACTATAAATCTTCACATTCTGTTCCAAAATTTCCATGAATCCAAGTTGTTGATGCATCCTAACATGCTCAGTTCTGAAGCAGGCACCGCAGAGGACCACACCAGTGCATTCCAGATTTCTGCTTTCTTGGAACATAGCAAGACCTAGACAATGACCTGTGTAAGCTTGTCCTTTTCACTGCCCTTGAGTTCATGCTGACTCACAGAGATCCTCAAGGTAGAGCTTCCTCTTTAGGTTTCTGAGACTGTAACTTTCCATGGGAATAGAAAGCCTCATTTTCCCCCCAAAGTACTGACCTTGCACTTAGCAGTCCAACTCATGACCCACCGTGCCCCCAGGGGGGCTAACTTGTCCTCAGCACTCTGTTCCTCTGCATTCAAGATACTATAGAGTCATACAACTTTCACTTTCCTTTGAAAATAATCATAAACATTATTGGTGCATATAATATGCACAGTTAATTAAGAAACAGCATTAACTTCCATAATTCAGTATGCCAGTGAATATACTTAGCTGCTAAAATATCTGGGGTTGTGACCTAGCTGGCGTAGTTCTTGAAGTTATGATCACAAAAACCTATGTTTTAACTTCCTCTTACAAATCCTTGCTCAGTGCTGAATCCAAATTAAGTGCATTGTTAGGATCTTCATGGTCATTTGATGAATGATGTGCATTTGGATGCAAAATCAGCTGGAATGATCATTTTGAGGCTTTACGAACTATGCCACATTTAGAATACAGCTGAAGATCTCTTGACAGTATTGGGGCTTCGTGCCTAATCTGTACTATGAGTGTTTAACAAGAGCATGACAGCTAAAGATAATTACAAGAAAAAATGATAACATTTATGATATTTCAATCATATTACTAAACAGGATGATGTCTGCATTTGTAGATTATTGGAATGTTTAAAACAAGGATTAAATACGTATCACTTAGGAGATGAGAAACGTCCATTGCTGGGAAATGAGAAATGATACTGTTTCAGTGTTAGAGGACAAAGAATAATGACATACTCAGTGAAGGAATGGATAATATAATAAATCTCTAAAAATATTTTCCTAAAATTTTGACCTTGATAATAAACTGATACTTGTTTTCTTTCTCCATTGTATGTGTATATATATATATATATATATATATATATATATATCAGTTGTGTATATAGTCCCATTGGAATTTATATTTATAAATAAAGCTAAGGGAGTTTATTTTTTTCACATATAAAGTTTTATTTTCTCCCTTCAAAATTATGAGTTGCCTGGTTTATTTCCTTTGATTAAGAACCGCACTCAACATGACCCAAATTTGGAAATGATAGGGGAGGAGAGAGGCTGCAATGAGTGTTCCTCTGTCGCCTCACTCACATTGTGCACAGCAGAAAATGAATCCTGAAAGAAATGTCCCATTTCCATTATTTATATGGTCTCTGGTTTCTTTTTGGAGCCCTGCTGGCATAGTGGATCACAAGTTGGTGCTAACTGCAAGGTAAGCAGTTCAAAACCACCAGCTGCTCCTAAGGAGAAAGCTGAGGCTGTATACTCCTGTAAAGAGTTACAGTCTCAGAAACCCACCAGGCCTTTTCTCTTCTGTCCTATAGCATTGCCATGAATTGAAATCGACTCAATGGGAGGGAGGGAGGTGTGTCATTTGCTCAAAGTTGTTGTTTTAGTTAAGTGCCATCAAAGTGTCTATGCATCACCAAATGAAACACTGCCAGGTCCTGCGCCATCGTTTACAACTGTTCCTATGTTTGAGCCCCTTGTGGTAGTGAAAGTGTCAATCCATCTCCCTGAGGACCACCTTCTTTTTTGCTGCCCCTCTACTTGATGTTCTCTTCCATGAACTGGTCTTGTGACTATATGTCCAAAGTATGTAAGACAAGTCTCTCCATCCTTGCCTCTGAAAAACACTGGTCATACTCCTTCAAAGACAGATTGGCTTTTCCTTTCAGCAGTCCCTGGGGCGTTCAGTATTCTTTCCCAGAATACGCTTTTGAATCGTGTTCACTGTTATTCACCTCGTTGTTCACTGTTCAATTTTCACGTGCACATGAGGCAATGGAAACTGCTGTGGCTTAGGTCAGGCATCTTTTCAATATTCTATATAGGGCTTCTGAAGCAGATTTCCCTAATGCAATTTGTCTTTTAATCTCTTGAATACTGCTTGCCTGAGCATTGATTATAGATCCAGGCAAGGCAAAATCTTTGAGAACTTATATCTTTTTCCATTTATCATGATGTTACTTATTGGTCCAGTTGTGAGGATTTTGGTCTTCTTTACACTGAGTTGTAATCCGTAACAAAGGTTGCAATCCTTGATCTTCGTCAGCATGTGCTTCAAGTCCTCACTTTCAGCAAACACGGTTATGTCATCTGCGTATGTTGTTAATAAGCATTCCTTCAATGCTGATGCCACATTCTTAACATAAGCCAGCTTCGCTGATTATTTGCTCAGGATACAGATTGAACGAGTATCAAATATGGTGAAGGAATACAGCCCTGTCGAGCACATTTTCTGATTTTAAACCATACAGCATCCCCTTGTTCTGTTTGCACAACTGCCTCGTTTCACATACAAGTTCTGCATAAGCACAGTGAAGGGTCTGGAATTCCCATCCTCCTCAAGCATGAGCCTCTGGCAGCTCCCTGTCAATCAATACATTGCTACAATGTTGTTGGATGATCTTCAGTATAAGTTTTCTGGCATATGATAACAATGATACTGCTTTATAATTTTGGCATTCTGTTGGATCACCTTTTCAAAATGGGTACAAATATGGATCTCTTGGCCCAGTAACTGCCTTCCAAGTTTTGTGGCATAGATGAATGAATGAGTGATTCCGGTGCTTTATGAGCTTGTTGAAACATTTCAATTGGTTTTCATCCATTCCTGCAGCCTTCTTTAAGCTAATGCTTTCACCGCAGCTTCAGGTTCTTTCAGCACCATTGTGTCTTGCTTATAGGCTATATCCTGAAATTGAACAATACCAACTAGTTCTTTTGGGGACAATGGCCCTGTGAAGTTTTCATCAGCTTTGATGCTTCCTGGAACAGCATTCCATATTTGCCCCATAGAATCTGTCAATCTTGCGTTTGAAGGTTGAATTTTTTTTGGAGTTCTTTCAGGTTAGGGTATGCTGAGTGTGTTCTTTGTTTGGGGTTTTTAATTCTAGGTCTTTGCACACTTCATTATAATATTTGGGTTTGTTTTCTCAAGCTGCCTTTGAAATGGTCTATTCAGCTATTTTTTGTCTATCGTTTCAGCTATCATTTCTTCCATTTGCTGTAGGTACTCTATGATTAAGAGCAAGTTTCAGAGCCTCTTTTGATGTCCACTTTGATCTTTTCTGTCCTGTTTTTTTTAGTGACCTTTTGTTTTCTTCATGCATGATGTTCTTAATGTCTTCACTCGGGCCGTCTGTCCTTAGTGTTCACTGAGCCACATCTGTTCTTGAGATGGTCCTAAAATGTATGTGGGATAGATTCAAGGTCAGATTTTGGATCTCTTGGACTTGTTTAAATTTTCTTTAGCTTTAGGCTGAACTTCCATACGAGCAATCAATGGTCTGTTCAGAGCAGAAAAACTTAATTTCCTAATTATGCCATAAAAAGTGTGTGGAATTTGAAGTCAAAGAAGTTTATCCATTTTCATTTATTTTCCTTCCCTCAGTGTTTTAAAAAGTACTTGCAAGCAAATAGTGAAATCATTAGTTTCAGCTTGTGTTTATTTTTATAGTCACTGAAATGTTTTCTTTTCTTACCCCAGAGAATCTGCCAGTGTGCACTGGGATATTGGAAAGGTCACTTTGTCTGATGAAGGCTCCTATGAGTGCATTGCCATCAGCAGTGTGGGGACTGGAAGGGCAGAGACTTTTTTTGACGTATCAGGTGAGTGTTACTAATGTCTGTGTGATTCCCTGAATATGGAGATGGGATACTTATTAGTCAATTTGCATTCTGTGCAAGTTTATTCTGATTATTCGAGTATAATCTACCTCCCTACTGGATTTGAAAACAAATCCTGCTTTTACAACCTACCAACTTGCCTTAAGTCATTTACTCACCTCCTTGGTGCCTTGGGTTTCCTCTCTCTGACATTTGGATGATCACCATCTATATCCAAGAGAAACTGTGAAGATTAACTTAGGTGAAATATAAAAAAGGAAGAAGAGAGCCTGGCACATAGAAGCACTTATCAACAGTGGGTCAAATATATCAGCGACTGTGAAGATGAAGCAGGCCCAGGCAGTGTATCCTTATATTGTCCGTCATAGTTTGCATTCATAGAATATTCTCCAACTGGAATTTATATGAATTGGAATGGTCTTGATGGGCCCTAACAACAGCAAAAATCGTTATATTCATGATTATTAGTAATTATTTTAATGGATTAATAAATATTTTTGACCATAGAAACTACCTCTTTTTCATTCCCATATGCACAGTGAACAAGATACATTGATCAATGGGTCCTGGCATCTGCATTAAAGACTATGATGAAAACAATCAGCGTCTTGGTACCTGGAGTCTCATTGGCTACAGAACCAGTAGTAAGAAGGGCAGAAGGAATGCTAATTATATTTAGATAGTATGCTTCTTATGACTTAAGGAGATAGTATGCTTCTTATGACTAAGATAATTCTCATTATCTTTATGAAATAGAATATATTATAGTGAACAAAAACAACAAAATTTTTCCCTCTAATCTACTAGAATTATTTTTTATAGGACCTTATATTCATATAATCAGAAGTATTTAAACACTTACTTGGCATGGACCGTTATAGAAAACCTTGTCTGGGCTAAGTTATTTTTACATGCCGTGCAGACTAGTGTTACAATATGCTGGGTATTAATAGCCCCATGCTAACCTCAATGTGAAAAGGAGCCCTGGGGCACAGTCCAGTAAACGTTGGACTGCTACTAATCACAAGGTTGGTGGTTTAAACCCACCAGCTGATGAGCTGTTCTGTTCCCATTAAAATTTACAACCTCGAAATGAAACCCCTCTACAGGGTTGCTGTGAATAAGAATGGATTTAGTGGCAGTGTTTCTTGGCTTAAACCTATTTCTGTGACTGCCTCATTCATAACAATGCTTTTGTTTGCTTTGAGTGGACACGAATTTTCTAAAGTCAGATTAAGAAACAGTTTTATAATTTAAAGGCTGTTTATAAGACAAGGATTTGCTATGTTTGTTATCAGCAAGTCCAAACTGAACTTTAAAATGGAGGCTTGAAACCAGGCAAGCATCCTCTGACAGTAAAACTATTTACATTCTTATTCTGAGAAAAATAAAGCTTGTTTGCTGAAACGTTTGCAGTTCAGCAAGTTGACATGCATCATAAACTATTCATTTTTCATCTATAATAATTATAAAAAGCATTGGAAACGTGTCAACATTCTTGAGCTTCTGGGAAAACAAACACTTGAGCACTTGAGTATTTTCCCAGCAATATTAATTATGGAAAGGACAACATGGAAGAGGTTTGAGTGAGTTGATTCAGATGTCTAGCAAAATTCACTGAACTGTGCCAATAAGAACTTGTGAACTCTTAAGGATATTTATGAACTTGGCTAAGGAGTGTACTGTGCCTAAGCTGTGTTTTAGGAATTGTTTCCACCTTGTCACTTTTGAAAGAAGGAGGCGGAAGCACGGATGATAGTGACAATGACTGAAGCAGCAGAAGTAGTAAGCTAGATCCCTTTGGACTTGAGAAGGTGGAGATTTCCTCTGGTTAGACGTGGCCTGACCTACCGTCCTCCAAACTGCACCTGCTTATTACTGTGCATCAGCCTAGGCTGAGATCTGAAGTCTACCCACCCTCTCCACCCACACTCCATTTCCACTGAAACTATTTCTCAGTATTACTGGCATCAGGTATGGCCCATTTCAGATTGGATAGGAAATAGTGAGTGGTATATTCTAAGTCTCCTGACTCTCAGTGTGCTGATCCTTAAACCTTCTCGGGTCCTCTAATCTTCACCTCTGTTCGAAGAACTGTTACATATTTTACATGTCTCCTAAAAGCATTAGTATAGTTGAAGAAATTATTTTTAATTATACACAATACCTTGTAGTGTTCACAAACTTTCTATAGAGTGTGAGGTGCACACAGCCACTTTGAGGCTAACTAGCTTTGAAGGGACTTTTAGCAAAACAAAACCCAGCCAGTAAACCAAAGCATACAGGAGACTAGGTTCAATTTAGATTTCATAGAAGTATATTCCAAATCTTGTATTGGACCTATTTATAATAAAGCACTATTTGATGTTTCCCTGAAATTCAGATTTAATGAAGGACCTTGTATTTTATCTGGGAGCCTTAGCCAGGTGCTTTTCCATGTGCATTTCCCACTTCATCTACCAGCTATTTTTGTAAGATTTAAAAAACATAGCAGCACGAGCAAATGTTTTTTTCAAAAATAGTTTAAAATAACACATATTCCTTAGAAAGAGTTTGGATAACAGGGCTAAGTAAAAAGAAAAATATAGAAATTATACACATTACTATTATTCAGAGATGACCAGTATGGTTTGAGTGTTATTTGCATCCAGTCCTGACTAGGTTTCTGATATTCTTCTGTACTTATACACAGTTTTAAATAGTAGAGGGCTAAAGCTTAATCTTGAATATTTAAACTAAAGCAGACGCATGCACTTGCTGCTAACACAGATCACCATGGTTTCTTTCTGCTCAACTGCGGTTTCTCACATCAGATTGTTTGAAAGCATTGGGGCTTCATCACCACTAATGAGAACAATATGGGATTCTAAGTAGAAATGGTGGTTCCATATCTACTTAGCCATGGGCTTGTGGCAACTTCTGAAATATGGCAATACCTTTTGTGGTATGTGTTTATGTGTGCCTGATTTTATTAAAGAACTAAGCCTATTCTTCACTCTGCCATCTTAAGTCAGACTGCATTCATCCCAGCTGGGGAAACAATCTCACCTTCCACGGTTGTACTGTGTCAGATGAATGAGATTTAACTTTTGAATCGATTCAACACCAGCATCTCTTTGACACGTCCAATGTTCTTTCGGAACTGTTTTCCTAAAACGCTGAATGTACCCACATGTATTTAAATGTCTTTGAAAAGCTATAAAATCTACTTCCTTCAAAATTCAGTTCAAATTTGCCTCATTCCACCATCATGAACAGTGTAATGAGATCTTTGCCATGTCTCTTTGACTCCCCCGTGTGTGTGATTTATGGATTTGATCTGAAGCATGCTTCATATGTAATTGAATCCATTTTGAATGCAACTTTTAACTCGGCAATTTCTTGAGGTCATACACATGTGCCTTTGTCCATAACTTCTGTTGTAGTGAATATTTACTATTGGATCATCAATAAATACTCATGAAAACTTTAGACTATATCTATAAGCTAGCAAAATGGCTTTTGGATGTTCAGATTTGAAACTTTTGATTTCACACAGAGCCCCCTCCTGTCATCCAAGAGCCTGATAATGTCACAATCACTCCTGGAGAAAGAGCAGTTTTGACATGTCTCGTCATCAGTGAAGTGGATTACAATCTAACCTGGCAGAAAAATGATAGAGATATTAAACTCATAGACCCAATGAGAATCAAGGTTTTGGCTAACCTCTCCTTGGAGCTCAGAAACGTCAAAATCAGCGATGGTGGAGAGTACCGCTGCATGGCGTCCAGTGAAGGAGGGTCATCAAGTGCTTCAGCGTTTCTCGTCGTACAAGGTACTGCACTTGTGTTAACTTCTGAACAGTAGTGACATTCTGTCTTCCTCCTTAGATCTTTGCTCCTTCCAGGCTGCAGACACTGAAGAGTGACAGTATCTACCCAAACTGGCAGGTTCCAGTGGTAGAGTGCTTGTGTTCCTCAGTGGTCTACAACTGACTAAGTTGAAAACTGAGACATTATTAAAAAGGAATGGGTTTAAAACAACCAAAATGGGCCCTACTAGTACTTGATGACTTCCAGTATAGGAGAATATAAGGAGAAACTGCTTTGGGGTGATCTGATAGTTTGAAAATGTGATAAAACCATGCTAATTGTTTTGATAATTTTCTCATAATGTTCCTTAAAAATTTTAATACTATATTATTATGTATTCAACTAATTTACTCTTTTTAAATAAAAAATAAGATGCTTTTTGTCTTGGTAAAGTTTTACTCAAATTTAACTTTATTCATTTTAGACACACACACTCACACAAACTATTCTTGAATTATGTCTAAATAGACTAAATGTTCAAACAGCTGAAATGCGTGTTAAAAGGTGGTATTGAATGCACATCTTATTAAAGACTATCAGCTGAAGATCAGAAACTGTTCTAAATCCTCACTGTACTAGAATTATATTTGACTTCTCAATGTCTACAGTCCAGCTGGGAGTCATGATGTAACAAGCAAATTACTGTCGGCTGTTTTTCACTGTTAAACTGAAAGGTTTAGCTGCTGTCTCAGCAGCATATTTCATTTTAAATCCCTGATGTGCAATACTGGTTACATCAGAATTAGGTCTGGCTATTTGGTTATGGTATTGGAAACAGCTTTATAACATGCCTGAGCTAACACTCTCAGATGATTCTTTAACAACACTAAGCAAATGACTGCAAAGTTTCAAGGCTGGATCATCAGATGTTATTAACGACAGGAAAGTGGAAGTACTGTGAGAATTAACAAAATGGCAGACATCTGATGCTCGTTCTCTCCCTGGTTGTAGAGCTATAGTCTGCAATCTGAATATGGGTCTTTTGTTCGTGGACCAGATGTAATCTCTTGGGAAACATTGCTTTTGTAAATGGCTCACTACATTTCCACATGGTCAACTGCCTAGGTAAAGTGAGTTTAATGTCCGTAGAAACTTGGGTTACTAGATCTTTAGAACTCTTTTAACAAGTAATTGTTTCAGATCAAATCAATGCTAATGGACTTCTGAAATTTGATCTTGGTTCTTGACTTGAAGTTCCTTAGAATGGAGTTGCAAAGTAAAAAGCAAGGAAACTTCTTTGCTTCCCCAGATTCAGTTTTTAAATGTCAGTATTCTTTTTAGATCATTAGTGATTCTCCAACTTTTGTGGATATGGAATTATCCAAAGAACTTGTTTTTACAAAAAAGCAGGCTCTTAACTACATGTCCCAAGGTTCAGATTCCCTGGGTCTACCGTAAGTCCAGTAAAGCAGCCCTTTGGACAGGCAGCTGGGTGATTCCAAGAACAACAGTTTCTAAAGAGCATTTTAATCTATTTTACAGGATGAACCCTAAGAACTAGATATGTCTATTTTTAAGGGAAGTTCTGGATTCATTTTTAGCTGGTAGGATAGAATTATTATTATCCAATGTTTTTGAAAAAATGCTGAGATAAGAAGTTATGTAACACCCTAAACATAAACAAAAACAAAGGCCCAGCATCTGGCACTATACCATTACTGGCTAATCTCTGCAAGTGTTGGGTGTAGATCTGTTTGGAGTCATTGTTTCATGGCTCGTCTAGTTGGCCTTGAGCTTGAAAAGAACAACTTTGATAAATATGCATGTTTTAACATATGTAACACAAATATATTCTAGATTTATGTCCCTCATTAGTAAAAAATGAGCATGAAGCTAATTGTGGCCATCTGAATGTATTATTTTCAGTTGAATACACAATTGAAAAGCTGTGGCTATTTGATAAAGGAAAATTGCTCTAAGTAAGGAAGAGAATATTGATGTAGTTAATGATATGCATGTAAACGATTGACAGGAAATCTTTGATTATAAATTTGTTTTATTTATGCAGTTACATATTTTAGAAAGCAGGCATTAAAAAGTTGTAGGAACTTTTCAAAGATTAAATAATTATTTGATTTTAATGGACAGTTAGAAATAATTTTCTTCTTTATAGAATCAATAGCTTAATTCATATCCTCATATTCCTCTGTCTCCACGGTCCTTTTGGAAGCTATTTAGAACTAGAACACTTTTAAGAATTAAAATTCAAGTTTCATAAAATTTTAGCTGTTTTAAAAAACATCATATGCAAAAATTGTATATTTTTAAATAGCATATATATGTTTATTACAACCACTCCTAACCAAACCATGAAACTATCTATAAAGACCTCAAAATGGCAAAATCTGAAGAATACTGAAAACCAACAATAGAAAAGTAGAAAAAAATCAGGGTAGAATTTTTATTTATATTATATATAAATATTTTAGTTTGTACTTATAATATTAAGCCAAATCAAATCAATTACCATTGAGTCATTACAATGTAGTAGTGTCCACAGGATTTTCAGTGTCTGGTTTATCCAAAGTAGTTCACCAGGACTTTCTTCTAAGGTACCTCTGGATAAACTTGAACCTCCAACCTTTTGGTTAGCAGCTGAGCCACATCAACCTTTTCACTCCCCCAACAAGTCTATATATACTATAAATATACATTTACATATAATATTTGTCCATATTTTAGATTCGGTGGGTGACAATCTCAATCAGTGGCCCATCTTTGTTTTCATTATATGAAAACTGAGGCAGCTATCTTTGTTCCCCCGTTTCATGGTTTTCCCCAACAAGAAATTTTACTTTCAGGAGGCTGTAATGTTGTCTCTTTATAGAAAACTTCTAAGACATGGTTAGAAAAACAGCAAGACAAGAAGTAGACAGAAATTTGGTCCTAGATTGAAAATGACCACCTGAAATACATGTCCCATTTATAATTTTACAGATAGATGATAGATAGATAGATAGATAGATAGATAGAGATAGAGATAAAGGAAACTTTGGGGAATTGAGACAGATGGTGACTGAGAAGAACATTCCATTTGAACCAGAAGAGTTTCATCCATGAGAATCCAGCCAGAAGTTGTCTACCAATGGCTTACTTCAGAGGCAGAGCTGGAAAGGAGGCTCATCTAGAGGAGAAGGGCCATCCAAGTTCTTTGTTCTTTGACCTTGGACCTGGACAGATATCATTTTATTTGATGGCAAATAGAAGAATATTGAAAGAAGTAACTAAAATAATGTAGTAATAATAACGCATGAGGCTTAAAAAATTTCAGGGATAAAAAAAAGTTATGCTACTTACAAGGAATAGTGCTTTGCATGTAGTTTAGAGACAAAGACAACATGTTTTATGTAAGCAGTCCTTTAAAAAGAACATATTTTCTTTGAAAGGGATTGTAAGTTTATAAGGCAAGATCAGATGATGATGAAAGGATGTCAGTTAGAATGATGGGAAAAATAAAAATGGTTAAAAATGCAATCTGAGATTGTACATCTGAATTAGTGATGCCAAAAGGTAGAGTTTATAATATATAAAAACAAATCAGGAATGTTGTATATAAATTTGAGAAGTTATTTCAAAATGCGGAGGAAAAGAACTTGCCGGTGTGTATTATCAGCCATTAAAAGTTGAAATGAAAGACAGGAATTTGAACATCAGTTTAAGTCTTACAGCTGTTTAAAAAAAAATACCAACTGTACATAAGAAATAGTCAGAGATAGCATTGTAGAAAACCGTCATCGAGGGAAATCTGTCCTTTATAAGCAAAGCAAGAAAGATGAATTTAAAAAGTAGACTAAAATTTCAAGTTACTAGATTGAAAGAAAAGAAAACCATAATTATACAGACTAAACAAATAACGTGTAAATTATGGCGTAAAATCAGGCTGTTTTCACAGGTCTCTGATGTGCTGAAGATTGGATGATGAGGGCAAGGACAATGGCCTACACTCTGGACATTTGGGGTTGGAACACATGTTCTCATTCGAGGAGAATTTTTTCATTATGTTAGTGGGAAGCGACAAACAAATGAGATCTGATCATTCTTTTCTCCCAGGTCCTAGAAAGTCACATGACCTGCAGTGCCCCAGGGGACATTGTTGCTTGCCAAGACCAAAGACATTTAAAAGATTCCAATTTTGGTAGCCACGTGGAATTCAGAGTTCAGCAGAAGCCACTGCCCAGTGGCCCAACCCCATCACCTTAACAGACTCTTCCTGTAGCATGACCTGCCTTAGCCTCCCTTAGTTTTTGTGTAGCGTCCGGTCTCCTTTTGTTGTTCAAAAATTATGTTTCCAATGAGTTTCTTTTCTGTTTAAATTAGCTGGCACTCATCTCTGTTGTTTTCAAATGTGACCTCTTAATTGAATAATAGTGGGAATGGATATGTGTAGTTTTGAAAGAAAAATTTGTGATAACAGGAATTTAAGACCCCACCAAATTATTCCCTATGAATAGGCATCAAACAGATATTTTCAAATATTCAAGATTTTAGAAAAATACTACACCCATGCCCTCCTTAAAACAATTTATTGGAGATGTCAGTTAACCGGCTGATGTCAATTTTAAAAGAATAATTCAAACTTAAAGAGGACAAATTATAAAGGACCAGTGAGTGTCCTGTGATAACTCTTATCAGTCTCAGTTAAGTGGATCTACGTAGTCTTGAGAAGAAGCACTGACCTCAAACTGCAGTCGAATCAAGCACACTAATGAGCATGTGAAAATACTGTTGGGTTGCTATGCTCATTTTACTGTAAGAATTCTCCACTACAGGGTTAATAGGATGATTAACTTCCAGCCATTCAGTCATTTCTGACTCATAGCACGCCAGTGTCCTGTGGGTTTCCCAGACTGTCGCTTTTAGGAGAGTAGGAAGCTCAGTCTTTCTACCGGGAACCTCTGGGAGTTTCAAACTGTGGACCATGATTCAGTAGGAAAGGGATGCCCTTACGCGGGGTTTACCACAA